AAACATAAAAACTTATACATAAATGTTCTCTTCAGCATTGTTTTTAATAGCTCCACAAATGGAATAACCTAAATGTCCATAAACTGAAGGATGGATAAGCAAATGTGGTACATACATACAACAGATTATTATTTGACAATAAAAAGGAATGAAGTACTAATACATGTTCCAACATATATGAACCAAAAAAAAAAGCCAAGGAAAAGAAACTACAGATAAAGACCACATATATGTTTTATAATTCCATTTATACTAGGAGAGGCAAATTGATGCAAACAGATTACAGACCGCTCTGAGCAAGGGACAGGTGTGTGAGTGAGTTTTATTAGGGTTTCTTTTTAGAAAAATGAAAATGTTCTAAAACTGGATGTGGTAATAATTTATACTCTGTGTATATAAAATGGTCAATTTTATGATACCTGTATTATTAACTCAAAAAAGATGCTAAAATTACAACAAAAAATGTTGACCAGTTGTAGTTTCCTGCTCTGAATCACTCATATTCTAGATGTCTTCTTGGCACTGTTTACACAGCACAAACATAGACCAACAGTCACCTTTCTCCAGCTGTGGGGGTAAGCAAAATTATAGCACCTTCTCAATGACAACCATCTGGCCAGCATGATACAAGCTTTTGTTATTTCTGAAATGCAGTGCTACAATGTACTTGTGCCCTAACCTGCTGGAGAACCAAGAAGTCTGCAATTGGCTGGAGCTCTCAACAGCAACCCTTCTGTCTGCAGGAAAGGGACTTGAAACTGCAAAGTGAAAAACACAACTCAAAAAATCTCCTTGTGGCAAAGCATATGCACAATTTTGGGCATTTAAAACCTTCCTCACTCCTGAACTCCTTTCAACCTCCTATTCCCAACTAGCTTTATATTCTAGGTCAAATATAGGTACTTATGCATCAGCAAGAATTATATAATGATCAAGCAGCAAGCACCTTTAAAAGTATTATGTAATGGAGCACTGACTCTAGATGCACTTATCATGTAAGCCTGGGCTCATCCCATTGCTCTATGACTCAATGTCTTCACTTGAAAATGGAGATGATAAAGACAACTGCTTTTCAAAACTGCTATGAAGATCAAATTAGTTAATATATGAAAAATGTTTAGAATAGTGGCTGGCACACTATAAGTGAAAATAAGTTTCTTAATATTCTTAGAATTATAAACTGGTAAATTTATTATTTTTATGTAGGAAAATACTACAGCTCAAAATGGTAAAATGACTGCAGTTGGCAGTGATGGAGATGGTATTTAACTTCAGGTCTCTGACTCCCGGGCCAGCACTCTACAGCATTAATGTATAACCTTGCACATATAATACTCCTTGATTAATTTTAGGTCTTGAAAGATAAAAATAACAAGCATATAGAAGCTAGCAGTAGCATATTGTATATGTCACAAAATATGGGGTTTTGTAAAATGTTTAATTCATTTCCTTTGCAACTTAGATTTGATTTTCTAACAACTGAAGAGACATTCAACACTAAATCCAGAATACCCACTATTCTGCCCTTCAAAGGGCAGATGGCTAAGAAGCTTTATTTATTTATTTACTTATTTTGCAGGGTACATAAATATGCCTAGCAACTGAGTAAAAAGGAGAATACATTTTATGTTTCTTCACTTTAGAAGTACATTCATGCAAACTATTTAGATGCCATTCTTGGGACTTAATGTTTCTAACATTCAGTAATCAATACCTATAAGTTTAATTCAAAAGACTCAAAATAACTATGATATGGCAAAACAAAATAAATACAGCAGGAGAGATACAGAGATATGACCAGAAAACTTTCTACACTGCAAAAGAGTAAACTTGTTTAAATCTTACCACTTTTCTCTCACACATGCACACATATATATAGACAATCACACCAAAATATATAAATCAGTCTATGAGGCCCCATAATATTGGGCCTCCCACACACCCAGCATCTGTGTAGTCTCTGCACTCTTCTCAGTTCTCCAATCAGATGTGTCTACTTTCCTTTCCTCAAATTCACTGATCTCTGTCCTGGTCTGGGAACTTCACACTGGCATTTTTTATACCTAGAAAGTTCTTCCTTATAGCCTCCAACTGCAGTTCTGCTTTGGTCTACCCATCTAGCAAGCCTGATTTGTCTTTCAGGATCTGATTACTCAAAGCAGTCTTCCCCAACAACCTAGACTAGCCTCCTTGCCCCAGCCCCCATCACACCCACTTAGACATGCTTCCAATCACTTATCCGATAAATAAATCTTTCTTATCCACCAGAATGTAAGCTCAAGGAGGGGAGAAGCTTCCCTTGATCCTAGCAAAATATCCAGCAAAGTGCCCATACGAGGTGAATAAAATTAACAGTTTCTGGGGTTATAGCTCAGCAGTACGGAGTTTGCCTAGCATGCACAAGGCCCTGGGTTTGATCGATCCCCAGCACCACAAAAAAAGGGGAGGAGGATTTAAAGTATCAAGTGATAAACTGATTTAACTTCTCCACTCCAATCTGACACAAAGTATTCCATATTAAGCTATCCACATGATATCTTAATAGGGAATAATTATATAATGTGTTATATATATATATATATATATATATATATATATATATACACACACACACACACACATACCAAATATGCAAACTATATTAAAAAAGGAATAGGTTATGAACTCCTTTTGGAGAAAAAAATTCAGAATGGACATAATCTTGAACTTGGATTACATACATATTTACATACATTTTATATATATATATATATATATATATGTATGTATATTTAAAGTTACTGTGTGCAAAGTCACAAGAAAAAAGGGTAATTTTAAAAATAAGCTTCAGAAGAAGAAAAAGTAATGATATAACCATCAAAGTTTGTTATTGACAAACATGCTCTTTTTAGGAGACCAACTAGCAAAGGAGGGTGGAGGAAACAAGAATCCAACATGGTCTTCTAGGCTATTACCAATCCTTTTCAAAGCAAATTCATCTCCTAATGAAAGAGAATGCGCTGAACCATAAAACATCCAGAAAAATAGCCAATGGCATGATGGAGTTCTATGAACAGCATGCGCAGAAGAAGATGGCATGTAAGTCAAAGGTACATGCAGTATAATATAAAGACAGCTGTCTGTGAGCTGGGCTCAATAGCAGATGCCCATAATACCAGCTACTCCAGAAGTTGAGCTGGAAAATCAGAGGCCAATCTGGAAAACTTAGCAAAACACTGACTCTAAAATAAAAAGGCCTGGGAATATAGCTCAGTGATAGAGCACTTGCCTAGTGTATACCTCCCCCATCTACCTCTGGCAATGGCTCCAGCGCCCCTTTAAAGTTTCCACCCTAAAACCTGATAATATGGACTCTTTTCCAACAGAACAGATGATATGCATGTGATGTGACAAGATTCCAAAAGATTCTTGTAGAGAAATTGTGTTTTAATGAGAGATACACAAGGACCATCTGGGGGGAAAAATTTAAAGGCATTTCACTGTTAGGAAATAGGTATTGTACTAAGTAACTCAATTTTTATAGAGAAAGGAGGAGAATAAGGTTTTAAAAGGAGAGGGAGGTGAAGGAAAGGTCTGAAGAAAGAAGTGTTGAGAGTGAAAGAAAAATATATAAAAAGAAAAAAAAAAACTTTTGTGAGGGAAAGGGGTCAAGGACCAGCAACTAGATTTGATTCAAGGGCATAAGATCCACACATCTCAGAGCTTAGGAAGAGTTCAAAAGGAAAATTTCCTGGTCACGTCTCCTCCTCTTAGATTAGCACAGTGCTAATCAGCTTCTGGTGTTCACCAAACTGAAGCCCAGCTTTGAGTTAACCACATCTCATCTAATCCAAATGCTGACATGCATGGAGGTCCTTGAAGCAGAGGCCAGGTCTTCTAAAGAAAACACCTCTCCTCACTCCAGTAATCTCTCTAGTAATGATATCAGGAAAAATAAACAGAATTCATCACTAACTATATATTATGCAAAGGGAAGAGATTCTGGGTACACCCAACAGGTGGACTTTTGTCTGTACTGTGACTTCCTCAAAGTTTACCTGCCAAATGATCCTCTCAGACACACTCATCTTCCTTAGAACACCCAGTGCATCAACATACTACAACCTTTAAACAATTATCCTAAGAAAAGGTGGGAAAATCTCCCCTCCTTTATCAGATACTGGGAACATTTCTGGTTTCAAACATATCGCCATTAAAACTGACCATTTTCTGAAACAAAACATTTAATTGCAAAGAAGGGCCTAATAGTTTCCAGCATATTTTATTTTTTAAATTAAATACTGTTGCACAAATAATAAAAGTGCTCATTTTCAATCATCTTAAACAGCTGAACAATAGTTTTCAACCTTTCCAAGACATGAATAAAGTACTTCCAGAAACTGGAAAGGGGGTACTATTATTTAAGCCATTCTGCTCAGCACTATAAGGAAACACCTGCTCATATTTGCATTTATTTTATGGTAGTTTCTAAGTCTGTGAAACAAAGGAAATGCTCAGTAAGAAAATAAAAACCTCAGGCATACTGTTGAACTGAAATCGGGTAACCCTGGGTCTCCTCGCAGGTGACTCCAACAGTGACCAAAGCCAAAGGGCTTGCACCAGAGACTTTTATAAAAGACCTTTCACCCCTGGAATTCCAGGTGACTGCCGGCATGCAACTGAAATCTGGCTAGGAGCCAGGAGATTCCGGCTCCCTAGCTACAATGTGGGAGACTCCCAAAGGACCCCAGAGCCGGCGCCAGCGCCTTCTTCCCCGGGGCAACTTGCCTTTCAAGGCACCTCAAAACCCGGCTTTCTGTAGCTTTCCGAGAAGCTATCAGGAACCCAGGAGAGTCGTCTCCGGACCAAAGGGGGGTGCCACGGTCCCGTAGGAGAACCGCTCTAGGAGACACGCCGGGTCCGAACCAGCCTCGGCGGTGTCAGGAGGGGCGGCGACTCCGACCCCACGGGCACGTCCCCACACCGCCCCCGGACGCTCAGACAAAGGACCCGCCACTCACCGCTCAGATAGTTGGTCCACTTATACAGCACGCCCTCCATGGCGCCCGCGCCGCGACAGGGCCACTCGCCCGCACCCGCCGGCAGCCTCACTGGCCCCGGGCCCTGAAGGCGAGGGGCACCGGCAGCAGGGCCATCGCCTGGCACGGCCCAGACGCCCACTGCTGGCGCCCGGGCCTGGTGCGGGGACGCCCGGCCCGCCTCACATCCTTGGCCCGGGGGCGGGGTCACTGCGGCGGCCTGGGCGCCAGAAGTAGCGGCTCGCGGGTGGGCCCAGGTGGTGGGGCCGGCGCGCAGTCCACAAGGGGGCCAAGGCGACGGGCGGGCTCCAGCGGCGGCCGAAGCCTCCAAAGCGTGGCGAGTGCAGCCGCGGTCGCCGGCGGTCACCGCGCTCCACCTGAACCCGCGACCCGCCCGTCCCGGACCGCGCTTGCGCATGCCCAGTGCGCCGCTCGCGCGCACGTTCCCAAAATCCACTCCGGGATTTCACCGCGGCGGTGGCGTCGGGTTGACGTTAGGGAAGAAGCTCGCAGGGAAATTGAGTCCCGGAGTGCTGGCTATCGAGTAGGCATGGGTGAGGAGGGAGGTCCCTGAGACCCAGGGTGAGACAAGGTTGACTTTCAGGGCATGTATAGGGGACAGCTTGCCATGTTTGAAGGTCTCTTTAGGCTAGTCCCTAAGGGTTCACTTCTTAACTTCAAGGTTGTCTGATTGATTGCACCTACTTGGGGTGCCCAAAAATAGGGCGAACTGACCTCGTTCCCGGGCCGAGAATTTGGGAATTTCAGGACAGAATACTGAGTTTGAGGCCAGTATAAATAGGTGCCAAAGTGTGGTCCCTTGTACCTTTGGCTTGACACCACCTAGCAACTTCTTAGAAATGCGTAATCTCACCCCCAAACCTAGACCTTCTGAAACAAAATCTGCATTTCAACAAGCTCTCCCTGGGGGAATTCTTAGTACACAAAGGTGTGAAAAGGCACGGTTCTAAGAATGTTTGATCAGGAAAAATGTTAATCATAGACCAAGTGGAAGGAGAAAATGTGTACAATATTATCCAAGTTGCTTTAATTATAATGTCACAGAAGCACGCACGAAAAAGTTACAGTGACTAATTGTGGAAGATTCTTTTCCCTTAGCGTGAAGTTGCCAGACTTAGTAAATAAAAATACACAAAATTTTTGGTTATTTATCTGAAATTCAAATATTCGTCTCCTGTACTTCATCTGAAAATCCTACTTTCGTACTTTACAGTTTCTTCTAAATTGACTACAGTGAACATGAATTGCGTTTGAAAGCAATCGAATTATGTAGAACTAGAATATTTAAACTAAAAGGAGGGTGTGTCATGCTAGGCAAGTGTTCTACTGCTGAGCCACAACCCCAGCACTCCACATAACTTAAAAAAAAAAAAACAACTTAATGGTAGTCCTATATAGGGAATAGATTTAGTCTTGTTCTTATTGCATCTTTCTCTTAGCTCTTCGAGTTTTTATTAACATGGTACAGATTCAACAAAATTACAGAACATGCGATAACAGATTTTTAGACCTAAAAGTGACTTGTCAAATCATAGATAAGCACCTTCATTTTACATTTTAACCCAGATGTGAGCTTAAACCCTGAATCCATCCCGTGGCCTCTTTAATATTGCTACATATCCTCAGGGACTACATGTTGTGGTTATTCCCACCTTTGAATTTTTGACCTTTCAGGACTCTTAATAGCATTTCTGGCATATGTTCCCCACTATTCCTTTTCTCTGTGTTCCTTATAGACCTAAGAAATAAAGGCTTGAATTTTAATAAACCGCTGTGCACCAAAACGCAAAAAATAAATAAATAAATAAATAAAAGGAGGGTGTGTGATTCCTAACCCTGATTAGTATTTCTTCTTTAAAGCCTGAGCCTGCACGTCCTTATGTGTTATTTGCCGTCTACACTAAAAGCACTTACGAGACAAATTATTACCAACCATAACTTTTACGCGGTGTTTGGAAAGAATTAGATCCAGTTTGAAGGCGGAGCTCAAATGCTCTGCAATCTAGTGACTTTAAGCAGGACAGATAACCTTTCCTAGCCTAAATTTATCTCCAAGTAAGGAAAAAAGAACTTGTCTTGCTGGTCGCAATAAGAGTCACGCACCGGGAATGCGCTTTATAAAGCCTCAAGGACCTTGTCTTTACATTTACACAGTAAACTTGGATTGTTGGAATCTTGAGGGGCCGCTCTCCTTTGGCGAGAGTAAATGAGTCTTTCCAGAAACCCCTATAGTGTCACCAGGCCCCAGACGCCTCCTACCTCGCTCAGCAGGAGTACTTTACAGAGGTAAATATTACCTCCTCGGGTTAGCTCCGCAGCGCGGAACCTCTCTCCCAAAGTCCGGGATAAAGAAATTCTTGGATTCTCCAGGTTCTAGGATCACTCCGGAAGGTTCAACCAAACTGTAAATTACATAGTTGCATTATCATTGGCTTGCGAGGCGCTTGAGGGACAGCACCACTAGCCAATGGAAGACCGCTCTTCCCAAGGGCCACAATGTAAGAACCAGTCAGGTCCCGCTTGGGTTTAACTCTTTAAGGTGAGTTTGCTGTGCGTGGGAAAGTTGTTGGTAGTAGAAGTGCCACGTCTCCGAAGAGGGGGGAGTCCTCAACTTGCCAGAGGTCCTCGGCCCTAATTCTTCAGCTAAATTTTAACTCTATGAAGTCAGGGGCCCTTTCTCTGTTTTCGTAGGGACTTCTTTCCAGCTCCAACAACATGAGGTTATTCTTGTGGAATGCGGTCTTGACACTGTTAGTCCCCTCTTTGAGTGGGGCTCTGATCCCTGAGCCAGAAGTGAAAATTGAAATTCTCCAGAAGCCGTTCATCTGCCATCGCAAAACGAAAGGAGGGGATTTGATGTTGGTGCACTATGAGGGTTACTTAGAAAAGGATGGCACCTTATTTCACTCCACGTAAGTAATTATGCCTCGCAGGTAAATTAATAAAGAACCCACCCGCCTACGCCAGCTGTCCTGCCAGAAAGGTTGGATATAGTTGGTTCTACTTCTCTTTTCAAAAAACTGAAATATCTAATTCCCTTCTTTGGGGGAAAAAAAAATTGTCTAAAGCCAATTCTGTATCATGAGGCCTTTGAAGGACTTATTGGGAACATGTGCTCTCCATAAAACTGTTAACTTTCTATTATAAAAATCATAACTAGAATCTGAAATTTTGCAGAAATATCCAGGGGTGTATTTAGGCTTAAAAGAATTTTCATGACTCAAACTCTGTTTCTTAGGGAAAATGAATTAATTCCATTTTTAATCTGGTGTAGGTGATATTTACTTAAAACTTTTCATAGCAACTTTAAGAGCCAAATACACAGTTGTTTATTTGCCTGTTTATAAAACATACTAATGCTATTTCATTGACCTATTTAACTTTTGTTTTGATTGATAACATTTTAGTCAATGCACAGACCATGATTTCATTAGTCTTGCTTCTGAAAATCAGATTTTAGTGATGGAGCAGGTGTAATTATAAAAGTCTTACAAGAAAGATTTTCAGGTGGTTATACTGTCATTTCCGTTCCATAAACAAAGAAATTGCAACATGGAACAGGTTTACAAGTGTAATGATTTCCAATCAGGCATTGTTTCCATTCATTTCATTCCCAAAGCGTTAAGTGAGCATTTCCTTCGTGTTAGGCCCTTTACTGGAGATTAAGAAGATGCTGAAAATTTGACTTCACCCATCTATTCATTTATCCATCTGTCAAACTCATTGAATAGCCATAAGTCAGGTCCTGGAGATGCAGAGATCACTAGAAGCAGGTTCTTGTCCTCCAGTAGTACATCATATACAAAGGAGAGGAAGACAAATGACTCAATGAGGGAAAGTACAAAACATTCAATGAAGCTTCATGGCCCATCCTAGACCCATTTTTCGATATCCTGCCTTTACTGGGCATTCAGATGCACTCTTGTGTAGGGCTTGGGAAAATTGAATGTCACTCTTGTATACATCCTGTTACCTCAGATAAAAAGTTCCAAACAGATATTGTGAGATTGCATTTTAAATTTTAAGTTATAAAAGTCTTACATAAAAACCCTTTTCTAGGTTTTGTGACTTTTTATTAGAAAATGTTCCAACATATGCAAAGTACAAAGAACAGTATATTAAACCCAATATTCCACTTTCCAGTTTCAAAAATTATCATACTGCCCATTCATTCTCCCCACTCCACCAAAATTTGATTATTTAAAAAAAAAATTTCGGACATCATGATCTCATTTGTAAATGCTTCAGTGTCTATCTCTGATAGACTCTGTATATTTCTCAGAATCAGAATATCAGTATTCAGCTTAAAAATCAATTAATGACAATACCTTAGTATCAAATATCCTGTCAGTATTTGAATTCCCTTATGTCTCCATCTTTTTTATTCTTGGTGTTCCATTTTGTTTTTGCAGTGCTGAGGATCAAACCCTGGCCCTTGCACATGTCAGACAAGGGCTCTATCACTGAGCTATATCTCCAGCCCTCAGTTTTCTTTTTAATACTGACACATTTTGATGAGAAAAGGGAGGCTGACAGAATTAATAACCTTCTAACCCATATCAGTACACATCAAGGTCTCAACTTGATACCTGAACTCCCTATTCCAGTCAGCATGGGTGCCTTTTAACAATATTTAGAAAAGTCTACGTATTTTGCTTTTATTACCTTTTCAAAAGTGGCCTTTCCTTTTGGGAGTATTTTAATTTCAGTTCAATAAGGTAAATGTGCTGACCTGAAGGAGACTTTTATTATAGAATCATTCACTGCCCAATACCACCAAGTAAGTAGAAATAAGAAACCAAGAAAATGAGCTTGTATGATATCTAGTGTGCTTGAGTATTATTCCTGCTGAGGCTGCTTCACAGGGATCCATGTCTTCAAAAATATTGTTCTAAGCTCAACTGGATCTGCTCTCTTGGTTAGAACCACCTTGGTCCTGGCTTCTGTCTTACTTTCTCTTTATTCCTGGCTTTCTCATCTACTCGGACTGGATTTTGCTATGTCTTGTTGGATTCTAAAAGTATGTCTATATGAGGTTAGTCATCAGAAATACTTGGTGGCCACCATGCTTCCCCACTGTGCTGTGCTAGCAGTTGCTGGCCTCTCTCACCAGCTCGCTCACACTGGGGACCCCAATGGCTCACATCCTGTCCCTGTGGTGGTGGAGGCAGCCTTAAGTTACATTCTTATTTCTAGTCTAATTTTTTTACACCTAGGCTAATTTCTTTCAGGTTGTAGGACCAAAAACTGGTAATGATTTTTGTGGTAGTCATGAGATATTATTTAGCAGTTTACTATTCCTGTTCTAGTACCTTATGAGGGGATTGTTGTCTTGCAGGCTACACATAAATGGTCAGAAGATGCTAACTCTGTTATGAAATGATTAACCTATAAAGCATATGTGCTGTTTCTAGAATCACAGTCTATATGGTAAATAGCTTAGCCTTATGAAGAAATGTGCCCAAATGTAGTTAATGTTGGATAAAAGATTGTTTCCTTCTTCTTTATTCTTTTCCTGGACTTACCAGATTTTCTAAGGTTGGTATTTTGTTTCTTTGATCAGAAAAGAAAAGAGGAAAAAAGTATCATTTACCAAGATTTTGTAAGCATGGTACCCACAAACCTAATAGAATGACTTATTATTCTCATCTATGAGATTATCTTTGAATACAGCAGTTTATTTATTTTACTAAAAGGGAGCTATTTGGGACTGAGACCTACTTAGCCCTTGAGGTCCCCAGGAGCTTAGCAGGTTGATTTTCTTATGCTGGCCTCTCTGATAATTCATGTAGCAGAATATCCTAACTATTTCCTTTCTCTCTGGAGCTTGAATAGCCTCTATTCCTGGCTCCCCTACAAATCCCCACATAGACTTTTCGGGAAAAAATTAGGCTTTGTGTGAGTGGTGACTCAGGGATGAAGAACATACTTTCCCACCCATCAGAACCATGAGCAGGCTGTATATCTCCTTAGGCTCTCATCCTCCTTCCCCATTGCAACTATTTTCCATTATTTTCTTCCTGGTCTGCAACCTAAGTGGTCTTCCTGGGACAGCATAACTTTGTGCCTAAGATCTTAATCTTCAGAGTTAGGAATATTTAAGGTCAAATACAGCACACTTAACCTCCATTTCCTCCTTTATACAAGGGGGTTATATGGTACAGTTGGCCCTGTCTACAGGTTCATGCATTCCCAATCATGGATCAGAAATATTTGAAAAAGAGTATGTCTGTATTGAACATGTTCAGAGTTTTTATCTTGTCATTATTACCTAAACAATATAGTATAACAACTATTTACATAGCACTATGTTTGTATTAGGTATTACAGGTACTCTAGAGATGAGTTAACATATACAGTAGGTTATATGCAAAAACTACACACTTGAGCACCTTTTGGCATTGGGAGGCTGGGGATAGAGGGATAGGTTCTGGAAGCAGTCCCCCAAAGGTACCAACCAATTATAGGATCATTGTTAGAGTTAAAAGAGGCAAATTTAGAATAAAACCTGGTACACAGTAAATGTACAAACAGTTGTTCATTATTATTATTCCCTCCACCCTTCTCCAGCTGAGTCAACTCTTATCAAATTTTCATCAAGAAAGATAGGTAATGGATTGAATTACTATGAAGTCAGGGGTGTGTGTAGGCAAAAAAAGAATAGCTGTTTTAGGGTTGGGGTTGTGGCTCAGCGGTAGAGTGCTTGTCTAGCCTATGTGAGGCACTGGGTTTGATTCTCAGCACCACATAATAAATAAAATAAAGTTAAAAAAATACAATAGCTGTTTTTATTAATTTCTGATGCTTGGTTGGACTAAATGAACCATATATTTTTTTTAAATTCCTAACTGGTTCTAATGTATAGAGCGCTTGCCTGTATGCATGAGGTCCTGGGTTCAGTCCCCAGAACTAGGGGGAAAAAATTCTAATATGTTTTCTTTCTCTCGTAGTCATAAACATAACAATGGTCAGCCCATTTGGTTTACCTTGGGCATCCTGGAGGCTCTCAAAGGCTGGGACCAGGGCTTGAAGGGAATGTGCGTAGGAGAGAAGAGAAAGCTCATTATTCCTCCTGCCCTGGGATATGGAAAAGAAGGAAAAGGTAATCACATTTTTATTTTATTTGCTATAGCACTAGAGTTCTTCTCTGAATTCAGAGACAGAAGTTAAGGTAACTACTATGTGTTTTTTTCTTTTCCCTAGAAAAAAATCGAGGGCTATCTACATTCCTTTAGGAAATATGATTATTTCTTGATAATCACTTAAAATGGCCAATTAAGGCCATAACAACAAAATGAAAAACTGAGCTAACAATGAAATGAGGTTCTGAAACCTTGAACTCTATTAATACTAATAGTAAACCACCAATATGGTAATTTTTAAAATTTTGTATAATATACATTTATTATTTGAACCATATTTAAGTACAGAGTTCAATGGCATTCACATCATTGTGCAAATATCATTGCCATGTGTCTCCTGAACTTTTTCACCCTCCCAAACCAAAACTCACCAATTTGTTTAACATTGAAAAAAGAAATATCACTCAATGTAAGTGTTTTGATGAGTCTAACATTTGAAATATAGATTATGAAGATACTGGTTATGGTTTGACATGTGGGCTGTATGTGGCTTACAACCACCAAGTCTCCCACAGCACAGCTCTTATTAGGGGTTCTTTTTATTCTCATTTTAAAATATATTTATAAAAGTTTCATTAATTTATTTAAAAATAATGGTGTAACTTGAAATGAATTAATTCTCTGTCACAAAGCAGAAGCAAGCCAGCTGACTGGGCCAAAGAACCTTCTTACCAGTTTGTTCCAGGGTAGATACATATACCTGGTGTTCAAGTGGGAACCCATGCAATTTCTTTCTTTTTTTTTATTTTTTAGATGTTGATGGACCTTTATTTTATTCATTTATTTATATGCGGTGTTAAGAATCAAACCCAGTGCCTCATACATGCCAGGCAAGCGCTCTGCCACTGAGCCACCACCCTAGCCCAACCCATGCAATTTCTAAAGGCTACTTGGTGATTTTACCAAGCTGCCTTTAGATGTTTGGTGTGTTAGTGCTATAATTCCCTTGTTTGGAATGTGATCTGAGGGGATAATCAGATATTAAAAAATTTGTCAAGAGGGGTATTCATCACTGCTACCAAAAAATTAGAAACAGCCTAAGTATGTATGTAATGATAAGACTTCAGCAAAAATAAATGTACCCCAGTTCCTAAAAACTAGCATTTTCCAAGATTTTTTTAAAATTAGATCAACATGTATAATATAAAAGTAGAAAACTTATAATATGTATACTATGGGAATAAGTATAGGAAAAACTATGTACACAGAGAAAGAGAATTATAAGAAAATAAATAAGAATGTTAACAATGGACTGTGATACTGGGAATTATATTTACTTCTGGTTCTCTCTTCCAAGTTCTCTACAATGAGCAAGTATTAACTATATAATAAAGAAAAAAAAGTTAAGTAGATCTCAGAACCAGATAGAGAACCACTCTGATATGATATAGATTTCTTAGGTCCTTAGGTCTAAGTTTAACAAAGTATGGATCAAGGTCTCTATCCCCAGTGTCCTGAGAAGGAAACTAGGTGCTTTATATGAATCATAACATATTCTAAAGTAGAAGTTATACTCATAGAATAGGATTTACTAGCCAAACTCAGTTCTTATTTTAATTATAGCCCTCTTCAGAGAAGAAAATTGAATATCTAGGAAACGTTTCTCTAAAGCTTGAAAGTATTTTTTTTCACTATCCTGTGTCTTTATTGTCTCAACTTAAATATTTATATATGTTGAATTAATCTATTAGTCTTTCTCCATACTGTATTAACTCATTTTACTTTATAACATGTAGAGATCTAAATTTGAGTCATCTTCAAACTTATTGCCGTGAAACTAATTCCCCTAATATGAATTTAACACTAATTTTTAGTCTTTTAGTACTTGCTTGCATGCCTCCTTGGAAAGATACCGGTTTTCTCACCGATCTAGTAATGCATGTCCCTTCTCTGTTTCCAGCTGGAAAGGTAAGCTGGAATGATAACAGTGTAAGTGTTGTCCCTTTAAAACTTGCAAATGCTCTTTTATGGAAATACAAGGGTGGGGGGACAACTAAGAAACATGTAACAAGTTGACCCAAACCTTTATATTAAATATAGTTAAGAGTAAATAAGTTTCAAACATCAATTGTCCCTGCTTCCCAAAAGGGTTTAATGTTGCTTTTCAGTACCCTGGGACTTTAACAAAGCTCTTTTCACATTTAAAGATCTGTTATCACCTTCTCAGAAGTTCATTTTAATTTCTTCAACATATCTGCAATTTTTGTGTGATGTTCTATATCAGAAGAGGTGTTTCCTAACTTTTTGAGAATTATGAATCTTCCTGCATTCTTTGTAAAGGTTGTTAGAAAATTATATCTCAGTAATGTACATTGAGAACTTACTATTTATCAAGCACATTGGTGAATATTTTATTTTATTGTATGGATTTTCTCCCTTCATCTTCCCAACAGACTCCTATTATCATCTGTATTTTACAAATGTAAGAACTGAGGCTTAGAGATGAGCTAATGTAAACTTCAATTCCAGACAGTATGACACCCAGGCTCACTCAATTTTAAACTGTCTCCCAGTGATAGAAATGATAGACCATAGTATGAATTTGTATGTCAGGTCTTTCTTACCTGAAAGTTAGTAAATCAATTGTAATATAATTAACTCTGAATTTTCTAAGACCCTTTAAGTCATTCTTGACATATAATACATAATATCTTAGTTATGCTTTAAATTTAGTATCCAGGTTATTGGGTGTGTGTGTGTGTGTGTGTGTGTGTGTATGTATGTATGTTTTTTTTTCCTTTTAATTGCCAAACCAAAAATAAGATACTTTTGCTGTACTTGTTTTGATTATTCCTTCCTTACTCTATTCTATTTGAGTGAAATCTAACTAGAGTACAAGTTGTCTTCATTATATGTGATAATCGTAGGTTGGCTTTCCATTTTAATCAGTTAAAAATATTTTGACCAGTACCATAAGTACCACTTGAATCAAATGTATGAAATATGATATGTCAAGAGCATTGTAATGTTTTGAGCAACCAATAAAAAAATAATAAATAAATAAATAAATAAAATTTGACCAGTACCATAAGTTTTCTTTTATTAAAACTTTTGTATATTTTAAATAAAATCTTCCTACCTCTTTTGTAATGACAGGTAAAATTCCCCCAGAGAGTACATTGATATTCAACATAGATCTCTTAGAAATTCGAAATGGACCAAGATCACATGAATCATTCCAAGAAATGGATCTCAACGATGACTGGAAACTCTCTAAACAAGAGGTGACCCTTCCTTCTGCCTACATTCCTACTTGTTGTTTGTTTGTTTGTTTTCGTGGTTCAGTTTTTTGTAAATATATTTTTAAAGAAAATTTATTTTTATTCAGGAAAATTTTTATTTATAAGTTTTCTTAAAATATTCATGCTGTGAAAGTTTGCTTTTTCATGGAAAAATCATTGTTTTGGAAGAAATATATTGAGACTTAAAAAGCACCATTTAGCACTGGGAATGTAGCTCAGGGGTAGAGGCTGGAGGGCCCATGTTCCATTCACACTCCTACAAAAAGAAAAATAAACACCATTCAGTCTTTTGCTTTTTTTCTTTCTCTCTGGTGCTTGGAATTCACTGTGTCTTGTTCTCACCTTGAGTCTTTGAAAACTGGTAACACAGTTCCCATTTGTAGTTACTGCATAAGAAACAGATGTTCTGAAAAGTATCTCATGTGAACACTTTCTGTTTAAAACTGCAGACTGGCTGTTAAATGCATTTGGTAGTCATTTCCTTGAGATTAGCGGCAAGCAACTTGTATGTCTAGTTTTGTTCAGCTTCACACCTGGAGAAAGGAGATGGGTTCTCCCCAGTAGGGGACCTTCCTCAGCTACCCCCAGTCCCACAGTATTTGGGTAGGAGGAAGGGCTTCTCTCTGTACCTCAGGCTTTTTCAGTCATCACTGATCATACTGTCTTAGCCTGGCTGCTGTGGAAGAATAAGTAGAGGTGGATATTTATCTCTATGTTATTTTTGGTTTGGGTTTTTACCTACTTACACTCTCTATGCTGGCCTGGCTGGTCAGATGTCAAGTCTTTTTTTAATGCTTTGGTCAATTTTATTCTAATGGCCAGGAAATGATTAAGTCTCAAATAAGTCAATTTTTTAAGAACCCTGGGGTCATGGTCAGCATCCACTAAATTTATCACACTCATAATGTTACCATTTATATGCCCTTTATATATCTATATATACATATATACAGAGATATGTAAATTTATATATATATATATATATATATATATATATATATATATACTGGAATTTCATTATATATATGTGTGTGTATATATATATATATATATATATATATATATATATATATACACATACATACATATACATACATATGTATGTGTTTTTTTCTTTTTTTAGTTGTAGTTGGACACAGTATCTTTATTTATTTATTTATTTTTATATGGTGCTGAGGTTCGAACTTAGTGCTTCACATGTGCTAGGCAAGCATGCTACCACTGAGCCACAACCCCAGCCCCCAATCCTCTTTTTTTAATCCAAGATAAATTACAATTTCTTTTCATTAAAAATTTTGAATATACAACACATTCACATGGTTTAAAAATCAACCCAAGTGGGCTGTGGCTGCAGCTCAGTGGTAGAGTGCTTGCCTAGCATGTGTGAGGCACTGGGTTCCATGTGTAGCACCGCATAAAAATAAAATAAGGATATTGTGTTCATCTATAACTAAAAAGAATTTTTTTAAAAAATTTTAAAAAATCAACCCAATATAAATTAGTAAATAAGAAATCTTTCCCTACCCATGTCCTTTTCTTCCCTGTGAGTCCCCATAACATCCAATTTCATTGATTTCTAGTGTGTCCTTCCAGTGTTTCTTCATGTGAATGCATGTTCTTATTTTCCTTTTTCCTCCAACAAAGGTAGCACATTATACATATTGTTCAACTTGCTTTATTCATATATAGAGAGAGCATCTACATTAATCCATAGAGTTTCATCGTCCTTTTTTCTTTATTTTAAACTATTTTAAACCACTTAAATGTGCAACATATGTTTGCATGTTGGGGGTCGGGGGAGAAGGAATTGAAACTATATAGACAGAGTGTATATTATTAAAAATGACAATACAGGTTGAATTGCATTATGGTGAATCTGATGAGGAATGGGGAGCAGTGTTTTGTTTATATTTTTAAACATCTTAATGAAAATAAAAAATTTTTATAGTCTAGGCATTTATCAGATTGGACTTTAATTTTTGAGACTGGAATTTCAGGATAAGGCTCAGTCAGTATTGCATATTTCTTCTATTCTTAGACATTTATTCAAGTATTTTACCAGAGCCACAATTAATCTGCTTTTAGGAGTGTCTGGACTTCTGACTCTTGATAGAAAAGAAGATCTAGTTCATTCAATGGATCAAAAGACATCTCTGTCTTCCAAATGCTCAGCTTTATTTAGATTCAGATTAACAACAGGCACTATGGATGGGTCACCAAGCCAAGCTGGTAGAGTAGCAGTGTTACTGGTCAGTCTGGGTCTATGGTCACTCTGCAGGCCACTCCTCAGCAGGTACCTTTTAGCAGAGCTCCTATTTTTGCAGTGGATTTTGAATAAACACCATCTGTTGAAGGAATGCAAAAAGGTCTTCTCAGAGGAATATTGGAAATTACAAATATTTTTTACACATGTTATGCAAGCAATAGGTAAACATCTTAAATTAAGAAAACAAGTTATCCCCACTGCCATGCTCTGTTTTAAGAGGTTCTGTGCAAGATATTCTCTAAGAAGTGTGGATCCTGTATTAAAGGCTTCCACGTGTATGTTTTTGGCACTGAAAGTAATTTGGAGTAGTCTTACACACAAGATTGATTTTTGCTGCTACTTCTGTATTAAAAATCAGATTTTCATATGCCTTTCCAAAGAAATCTCTTCATAGAATGAATCATACATTAGAATGTAAATTCTGTCTTTTAGAACCAATGGATTATTCCTTTTTGTTTGTTTGTTTTGCATTGGGAATTGAACCAAGGTGTACTCAACCATGGAGCTTCATCCTAGCCCTTTTTATTTTGAAACAGGTTCTTATTAAGTTTCCCAGGCCAGCCTTGAACTTGTGATCCTCCTGCCTCAGCCTCCAGAGTTGCTGGAATTACAGGCATGTGCCACTGCACCTAGCTAATCAGGATTATTTTAAAGCCATATGAGCAGCGGAAGAATTTGATGTGAGAAAAGAACTGGCAACTAGACAGCTATTCTTAGTACCAAAACTACTTCCAAACAGTAAAGGAGAGCAGGGTCCAAACAGAAGTCATCACTCTAGCCATTGTCAATCTTAAAACATTCTGGGAGCTAGGTTTGATTGTATATACTTGTAATCTCAGTTACTCAGGAAGGCTGAGGCAGAAGGATCTTGAATTTGAGACAGGAGGATCTCAAACTTAAAGCTAGCCTGGATAACATAGTGAGATCCTGTCTCAAATAAAAAATAAAAAGGGCTGGGAATGTAGTTCAGTGGTAGAAAGCTTGTCTGGCATTTTCCAAGGCTTTGGGTTCAATCCTCAGTATCACACACCAAAAAGAAAAAAAGAATTTTGAAACTGGGGGCAGACCTCAGGGGCAGAGCATATGTTTAGCATGTAAAAGGCCCTGGGTTCACTCCCTAGCACCAAAACAAACAAACAAACAAATACACAAACAAATAAGAATGGCAAATACACATCCCAACCATGCTAAAGAATTCCATGGTTGACTGCATAGAAAAAAAAAAAACTGGACAAATTTCAGTAGTGTCTTCAGTGGAATACAAATGAAAATGAGTAGCTTACTTTTATCAAACATATTGGGAAATGGTTTAACTTAATTATTTATATTTTATATTTTATTTTGCAGTGCTGGGCATCCAACCCAGGGCCTCATGCATACTAGGCAAGTGCTCTATAACCAAGATAACACTTCTAGCCCTATTTTTGCAAAATATAAGTTTTTCCTTATTTAGTTTGATTTTAGTATATAGTTGATTAAAATCTCTTGATACAAAAATTTGGAAAGATTCTAGGCAGACCTACCAACAGACATACCTGGACACTTCAGAATGAATAATTTTTCATTTCTATAATATTTCTTAGTTTGGATAATGGAAAGTGTAGCTTTTTATATTAAGTCAGGAAACATGTAGCATAATATGTTTAGAATCTCCTTTGATTATTGAGGGACCAAAAAAAATACATAAGAAGTTGATTATGAGCACATTTTTTCCTTTTCATAAGTTGAACTATAAAATTACAGTTTTGTAAACTAGAACTATAATTATGGAATCAAATCTTAAAAATTCCTGAAAGAGAAATGGGGAATGTAGGTCAGTGGTAGGGCACTTGCCCAGCATGTGTGGGACCCTGGCTTTATTCCCCAGAACTAAAAATAAACAAACAAAAATAAATCCTAGAAGATTTTGGTAATGATACTGATAAATTCAGGAAAGTTAATCAAGTACCTCTTGAGTTAAAAGTATATTTTACTCAATAGTTTTGGTGTTTTTCCATAGAAGATATTAGCCAAGTCTAGCAGAAAAGTAAAATATCTATAGCATACTTTGATGTTTAAAAAGTGATAGTAATTTCATAACCATTTTTAAGTGCTAGACAAAAAAATTACTACGTATTATTCTTCCCAATTAATTGAGGTATTTTGAAAGCTTCATTGAATAAAATATTATAAGGCTGAAGTTTAATGATTGTTTTGTTTTTGTGGAGCATACACAAGGAGGCCTTGTGTATGCTAAGGAAATGTGCTACCACTGAACTATATCCTAACCCCCCAAATTTAATAAGATTTTAATGTTAATTTTTACTCTGCTTAGAATAATAATAATTATTATTATTATTATTGTTATTATTATTATTATTATTATTATTTTGGTACCAGGGATTGAACTCAGGGGCATTTGACCACTGAGCCACATCCCCAGCCCTATTTTGTATTTTATTTAGAGAAAGGGTCTCACTGAGTTGCTTAGTACCTCACTTTTGCTGAGGCTGGCTTTGAACTCAAGATCCTCCGATCTCAGCCTCCTGAGCTGCTGGGATTACAGGCATGTGCCACTGCATCCGCCTAGAAATATTTTTAATAAGTTTTATACACCCTAGTTTAATTTCGTGTCTTAATTTGGATTTATGGATTTACTACAGGTACCCTGATCCAGGAACACAATCAGGTTTCAGGCTAGTTTGATACTAATGATTCTTAATTATACTGTGAGTATAGGACTTCAGTATTAAATGTATGTCAATGGGACTATGTGTGGAACTTAATAAATTAATAATTTTCTTCAGATGTGAAGGAGAGTGATAAATTTAGGGTCAGAGGATCTTAATGTACAGTTTAAGGATTAAAAAATGTTTATAATGGAATATTAGTCATAAAGAAGAATGAAATTATGACATTTGCTGGTAAAGGGATGAAACTGGAGAATATCATGCTAGGTGAAATAAGCCAGTCCAAAAAACCAATGCCTGAATGTTCTCTCTGGTATGTAGATGTTAACTAACCAACAACAAGGGAGGGTAGGGAAGGAATAATAGAAGTTCACTGGATTAGACAAAAAAGGAATGAAGGAAAGGGAGAGGGGAAGGGAATAGGAAAGACAGTAGAATGAATCAGACAAAACTTCCCTTTGCTTATGTATGAATACGTAACCAGTGTAACTCCACATTATGTACAACCACAAAAATGGGATCTTAATTGGAATGGGTTGTACTCTATGTATGCATAATACGTCAAAATGCACTCCACTGTTAGGTATATTTAAAAACAACAAATAAAAAATGTTTATAAATTAGTTGCTAACTGTGGATTATGAGATTAAATGTCAACTTTCAAGTGTAAAATTACAAGAATAAAAGTGAGTTCTACGTCTGACACAAGCAAACAAAAAAGTAGGTACTGTGTGTTCATGGTGTGTGTTTGAGATAATAAAAACCTGCCATTTGATGTAAGATTTATATGTGTAAGCTTATCTTTGCCTCAGCAATATTTTGTGTCTCTACCATGGTAGTATAACAACAGTTTTTAAGGGGTAAAAACTCTTATAATTCTCTTACTAGTGCAATAAAGCATAAAGAAATTGGCACTTTATATATTATTTAAATGAACTACCAGTCAATGTCTATGATATTGATTAACAGTGTGGTATCTTCTTCATCAAAGTTGTTAATGAGATTTTTTATTTTGTAGGTTAAAGTGTATTTAAAGAAAGAGTTTGAAAAGCATGGTGCAGTGGTGAATGAGAGTCATCATGATGTTTTGGTGGAGGATATTTTTGATAAAGAAGATGAAGACAAAGATGGATTTATATCTGCCAGAGAATTTACATATACACATGATGAGTTGTAGAGATATGTCTGCCAATGTTATAGAACATTCATCTTTAAAGAGAAGGCTGTTGTCCTTAAAGACTTATTTTTTAACATCATTCTGGTTTTTGTGTGTGTGTGTGTGTGTATACACACACACACACACACACACACACACATATATATATATATATATATATATATAATTTTTCTGGCTATGATCTAAAGAACCCCTCAGGGTTTCCAAGTACTCGTTTCTTTGGGGTAAGTTATTGGGGAAAAAACAACTAATTTGTCTTTGAATAGAAGACTTCTGGGCCATTTTCTGCTTTCACATATGAAGCCTTCTTTTACTTGTTTTGTTGCAATTTGAAAATATTGTAACTGGGAACATGGCACAGCATGAGACCAGGCTATAGCATAAATTAGCCCCCTTCATTTTTGCTTCCCTCTATTTTCTCAAAGTTAGATACTGACATATTTGAAAAACCTTTTGCAATAGCCCAGGGCTTGCCCTTTACAGGTTATAATGAAAGAGTTTGTCTTTGACTGCCTCTGAATCTCTGCTTGAGGACAGAATGAAAAGGGTGGACTTTTATTTGTTGACAGCTACTGTTTTACTAAGGAGGTGTGCAATGCTGAAGTAAGAGTTGGGAACTAGGAGCAGATGTGCATTGGAATATTCTGCCTAAGACTTAGGCTTCATAGAGTTGGATTCCTCATGACTAATGGCCTGTTAAGATAAATGGACAAATCATTTATATGTTTCTTTATTTATAATGAAATACCAAATTATTGTAGTTGTGGTAAAAAGTTTGTATTATATCCAATGTTTACTTTTTAAGCCTAGCAGATTACTCTCCTGGTTCTTTAATGAATACAGTTTACAACAAGTAGATTATTGCATAATAATGTTGTATTATAAGATAAATTAATAAGCCAACAAATTTTTCGCATTTATGACTCATCAAAAAGTGAGGTAGACCTTTAGCAGCTACTATTGAATAGACACCTATCCTGGTTTTAAAAAGTAATGATTTTTATAATATTATCTCAAATTGACTTTTATCCTTAATATTTAAGAAAGAAGTCCCCAGATCTTCATTTACTAGGAATAGTCCCTTATAGTTTACAAAATCATCAAGTGCATTATTGTTATTAGTTTGTGTGTGTGCTGCTGGGTGTAGAATCCAGGGCGACGCACACTTGAGGCAAACTCTCTGCCACTAAATTTTACTCCCCTCCCATCAAGTGCATTATATTGTCTTTGATTCTCGTTGCTCTGAAGTCTATGCAATAAGCTGGATCTTACAGTTTCTACTTAGAGATGAGAAAACCGTCATTCCAAGAGATGGATTATTATGTCCAAGGTCAACAGTTAACATGTAGAACCAGTTTACAGTCCCTAAATTCGGTGTCTTTCTGCTGCCCTCTACTAACGAAAGACTGGGTAAATCTGTTTGAATCCATTGTAGCTAGGGTCCTTATCCTTTGAAACTGTTCCCTGGTTGTTTCTGGAGAATTAGAATTTTCCCCATGATTCAGGAATGGCCCTGACTTCATAGAAAATCTCAGGATTGGCTCTGAATTGCCTCAGATACCCCAAACAGTGAGAGGTTCCAGATGTTATGTTACCTTCGTTCTTTTATTCCTATTTACTTCCATTTTTTAAAAGAATTATGAACAATTATATATATGCTGCTTTCACTGATTACATATTGATATTTTTCTCAATAACACATGGAATTCTTAGAAGGCTATATACTACAACACCTTTCTCTGAATAAATCACTTCTATCTTGAAAATTATTAAGTCATTACTCCATTTTCCTGCACCTGGAGAGGTTCTAAGTCAAGATACAGAAAGCATCATGTTGAATCACAAAGGAAAGTAGCTTGACCCGTGGTGCTACTTTGTATAGACATTACTGATGTCATCTATGTGACAGTGAGAAAAGTAAAATAAATTTTGATTATTTCGGAAGCATATTTTTTTATCTTGTGTGAATTTTTATCAAGTCTCATCTAAACATTTGTACTTAAGTACAAAATGAAAACTTATACATATATTGTGGTTGTGTTTAAGTTGTCTGCATTTTTGGTTTAGCTGTACCTTTGTACCCTTCCATTAGTAGGAGTGATCTGACATGAACTGTGACTTCACATGTATATAATTTGACTCACTGTTACTGTTCTGTGTGTCATATTTAAGTTTATATGACTATGTTGTAGTATTTTTTTCAAAATAAAGTTTATTTGGGAAATAATGGGTTTGTGAAAATTCTTGGGTTTTGTTTTATGGTTTTGTTTTGTTTTGTTTTTTTCTTTGCAGTACTGGGCCTTGTGCATGCTAGGCAAATGCTCTACCACTGAGCTACATCCATAGCTGTTTTCTTTTGTAATTTTATTTTGAGACAGAGTCTCACTGAATTGCCCAGGTTAGCTTTAAATTTGTGATCTTTGTGTTTTAGCCTCCTGAGCTGCTGTGATTACAGGTTGTAAGCCACCAAGTCAGGCATGAAAAAATTCTTAAAGAAGCAATCTCTTCAGCAGCTTTATTAATTTTCTTCTCTTTTTCCTTTTTTTTTTTTTTTTTTTTTTGGTGCTGGGGATTAAACTCAGGGCCTCGTGCATGCTAAGCACATTCTATATCACAGGGCTACACCCCCATTCCCTCTTAGTTGTCATTCTGGGGTTTATGTCTAAATAAGTGACGAAGATGGATAGGTAGTAGAAGGAGAGGGGTACAGTGACACTTAGAGTGTGGTTCTGATTATCTGCTTTGCTTAGGTATATATTTGTCAGCCATGTTTTAAGTTGTTTTGAAGTTAGCATTAAACCTTGAGCATTAAGGGTGATAGTTGACTGAATTTTTAGCATTGGAGAATTTTGGGGGGAGAGGAGAAGATGGTTATTGTTTTGGTTTGAGATTTTATTGTATTTATAATATGTGGACATTATGATGATTCATGCCTAGTGCGTAAATGAGTGCTATAAAATGTCTTATATGATGAATTGAAATGTTGGGTAGCCATAAAACTTAAAAAAAAAAAAGAGAGATTTCTGGTTCAGATGAAGCAATCAGCCATGTTGATCTTTTTATGTGTAAATGAATTTGTACTTTCCTTCTTATTCATGATGCAGGATATTACTTACATCCGTAATGCTATTTACATATCTGCATGCTGTCCTCCCCCTATGAATTGAGGGTGGGTGACTTCTTAGTGCTTGGAAATTGCAAGAAGAGAAGGAATTTGATGTCTTGTTATGGGGAAAAAAATATTTCTCTCACCTTTTTATTAAAAAAGCTAATTAGCATTGTCATAATTACCTGGAAAAAATTTAAAAGAACTACTTTTTTCTCAGAGAAGCAGAGCACTTGAACACAAGTTTTTAATTTTGTTTTGTTTTTTGTTTCTTGTTCACTTTAATTGGAATCAAAATCTAAAATGTCAAACATGATTATTAATTCTTATGCCATTTGAAAACATTAGTATGATAGTACTTTTGTCTCTTAATATCTGTAGTTGTATTATTTTTAGGATTTTAGTATTTTTAGTACAAAAATCCCTATATTCTTTTTAGAAAAATTATTCTTTTTAATTATGTTACATGACAGAGGAATGTATTTTGACATATTATACATGTATGGAGTATAAGTTCCCATTCTTATGGTTGTACATGATAATCCACATATTCTTACATATGAATTTGGGGTCTTATTTGAAGGGAAATTATTTTGTCTCTGCTCTGGGGGTGTAGCTCAGTGGTAGAATGCTTGCCTATCATGTGTCATTTGATCCCCAGCACTGCAAATAAAATCAAATACTGTTTGTCTTTTTCATCTTTGCTTCTGCCACCTCCAGTTCCTTAAATCAGAGTGACTGTGGCAAGAGACCTTAGTAAACATTGGTTTCACAGCTCAGTCCTCAAATTCAAGGAAAGATGTACCTTATTTCCTAAGCTGGCAGTAATGTAGCAGTGATTTTTAGTTTAGGATATACCAGGATCATATAGGGTGTGTGAAAAATGCAGATTGCTGAACCCTCTCTCCAGAGATTCTGATTAATTCTTGGATCTGGCCTATGAATTTGCCTATAACGCACTTGCTAGTTGATCCTGATGCAGATAATTCAAAAACCATTTGAGAGATAATGTTAGTGGTTTCCTGCCCTTGAATATACAGTTTTCTTTATTTTTCTCTTCTATGAACATTCATTAAAAAAGCATTGTGCAATGAATTGTACCTAAAAATGAATATACATTCAAAAAGATAAATTGTATGGAGATGCTGTTTTCCCAGAGTAAGAATTTGGGAATTGAACTCAGGGGCACTCGACCACTGAGCCACATCCCCAACCCTTTTTGTATTTTATTTAGAGACAGGGTCTCACTGAGTTGCTTAGCACCTCACTTTTGCCGAGGCTGGCTTTGAACTCATGATCCCCCTGCCTCAGCCTCTTGAGCTTCTGGGATTATAGGAATGTGCCACTGTGTCTGGCCCAGAGTAAAAAAAAAAAAAAAAATCATGCAGTGAAAAGTTAGATGGTCAGTAAGTTTGAAAGGGAGCGGGGTAGAGAAAGAGAGAGAGAGAGAAACATGATGCTCAAAGAGTTTAGGATTTTGGAGCATTTGGATTTGGGATTTTTAGATTATGGTTGCTTAACCAGTAAAATCTATATAAACACTGTGAAATCCCAGAAAAACTAAGGTCCTAAAATACTTCTTGTCTCAAGCATTTGGATAAAGCATATTCAACCTACAGTATATACTGTGCATATACTATGTATATATAGTTTTGTACCAAAGATAGTAATTGAAATACTTTCTCTAGTATATAATTCCCCCTCTCTGAAAACTTGTCTTTAACATGCAGTTAAAATTCCTGTGTCCCTTTGGAGTCTATTATTCTGTACTTAGCTTACCTTTCTGTTTCACTCATAAGTAGAATTCTTAGTACAGGTAGTTCTTCATGTAAAACCAACGATACCCATACCCTTGCCTTAGCTTGAGTTTTACTGAAGAAATTGAATGGCTCATTTGGTATCTTTAGATTATTGATTATTGCTAAAAGAAGGGATAAAACCTGTTGGAAGATTCTGGCACCTGGATTCATTTGATGACCAGTTTTGTGTGTGTGTGTGTGTGTGCATGTGTGTGTGTGTGTGTGTGTGTCTTTTTTTGGTTACATTTTGTAAGGTATGTAGTCTCTCCCTTGCCAATGAACTGCTAATAAGCCTCCGGAATAAAAAAGATGACGCTCATGAGGGTGAGTCAGCCTGTCATCTATAAAGCCAATCTAAGTGCCTGCAGACTGGACTAACATCAATTTTGTTTTATATGATCTAAAAACAAGTGACATGACCTATTAGCTGAGGGTTTTCTCTAAAACTCCTTAATAAAGTGAGTGAGGTCCCCTTGGTCTCTAGTAGCAACTAAATTATATCCCACTTGGAGATTTCTGGGAATTAACAAGTCATTTCATTAATTGAAAATTCCACCCTGCAGTAGTATAAAGATTTTTTTTTCTCTAGTAAACAGTTGCAGTAAAAATAGATGTATGCACAACATAAATTGAGGTATTGAGGGATAGTTTTCATTATTATAAAGAATGAAGTAAGAGTCAGGAAACCCTTTGGGGCTTAGTTCCAATTTCTTAGACAGCATTTTCTCATTTATTTATTGTACTTACTCTGCCAGAGTGCATGTTATGTTATTTAACTCAACCTATATTTTATCTTTGGTTAGGAGATTAGGACATTATAATGTCTAACCACATACTGGTGGTTCTTTCCCATTATGATTGTTATCTCTTAGAATTGTTGCTAGCTATTTTTCTTCAGAAGACATTCTGTTTAAGACATTTCTGATTTTAAAGTGGTTCTTTAGTAGCTAAATTTAATTAAATCAGTAACCAAATTTATGTAGAGTAACCAAGAGAAACAGTAGTACAAACACAGGGAGATTTGCCTTTAAATAAGAGGCACCATTTTACTGACAGGAAAACAGAAAAGAACTTTAAAAAGATCTTGCAATAAAATTCGCAAAATTGAAATTGCCGATTTTCTCCAGAGAGTAATTTTCTCTCCTGCTGACTTCATCTCAATGATTCCTTCAGAATATTTACTTAAGTTTTTTCTTTTTTTGGTTACATTTTGTAAGGTATGTAGTCTCTCACGGGATGTCATGTACTCTTTTTTTTCCCCTTGCCACATCTAGTAGTAGCCAAGGTTTTCTGTTCTGTGTCATAATCTTTATATAAAATTAAGCAGCCTACACAAGTTAATTGATTCTTATATTAAGACTGAGCTGCAAATCAACTCTGCTCCTTGGATCTTTTTTGCTAATACTTTATTACTATAGCACTAACATCTTCAAGACTATTAACTCTGCCACCCACCAATTTTCTCTGAGCTGGGCATGTTCAATGGTTTTCTATTATTTGTTTTTGGGGGAGTGGATTTATTTTAGTTTTGTAAAGTTAATATGTAGTACAAAGATGCTTATGGTTTAATACATTTTAAGGTATCAGAACAATTAATTATAACACACTTTCATCACCTCAAAATGAAATCCCCATCTGCATTAGCAGCTATTCCCACTTTCACAGAATCCCCCCGTGTTAAGAAACCACTTTCTTCAATGGATTTGCCTATTTTGGATATATTCTAATAATGCTTAAAGCTGAATACTTTCTTGGTTTTCAGGGCAAAAATAAATAGATTATTCAATAAATTAATTTAACGATAAAATGATTCCACTTTTAGTTTTTATTTTATTTTTTAAAAAATATTTATTTTTTAGTTGTAGCTGGACATAATACCTTTATTTTATTCATATATTTTTATGTGGTGCTGGGGATCAAACCCAAGACCTCGCATGTGCAAGGCGAGTGCTCTACCACTGAGCCACAACCACAGCCCCCAAGTTTTTATTTTAATATGGTGGTACTATTTGAAATTCAAAAGGGAACTATGGACTTCAGCTTTAAGGAATGAATCACTCTACATATTTCAAAAGTCAAATCCTTTGCACATGTAAGCACTCAAATCAGTACAAGGGATATAATATGAATAGTAACAACCCAAGGCTAGGTTTAGGATTAATTGGTAGAAAAATCAATGAAAATGAAAGTAAGGAAAAATAAGGAACTGCAAAACTAAAATATTTCTGTATATCTACATTACTCCCAATTCTCGGAGTCGGGTAATTCAAATAAAATAATACCAGTTGTTTGGTGGTTTATGGGAAATAAAAGAGTGCTCAC